ACATATATCCCAAAACATCGCCAAACAGTGTGGCTGGCGGGGAATTTCGGAGATTTAAGCCCCCCCTGTCTTAAATTTGCTGAGGTTGAGAAACACTGCTGTAGAGGTTGTACAATTAAAAACTGGGACCTCTGGATGCCTTGTTTGTTGCGTGCACCTTATATCAGTTTTGCTTGAATGTCATTAAGATGTTTGCTTCAACTACGAGGGCTAAATTGTCCTTCTAATCTTTTCCACTTTCAGAGCCCAGGCTTGGAAAATGTGAAATGGAGCGTGTCTTTAAGCATAGATAGAATATTTTCCTCTCAATAGTAAATCTTTGCAGCCTTGCAGTTTTTGTAAGATGAGAGACAAAGGCACAAGAGATAAATTTCCCATCCCTTGTTCTGAGATTTGATGCCTCCACATTTCAGCATACAAATGTTTGTTATTCTCAGTATTTCGCATGATTTACAGGGCTTAAGCCATATGTGTTGTCTCCTGCAGCATCTCTCAACTAAAGGTCAGTAGAGATGGCTAAGTGATAATTTGGTTTTTTTTTCCCTCTTGGACTTCCTAACAACTAAATTTGAAGACTTCTGTGTGACTTTTAAGCTTGCATGGAACATTTATGGCACTGTTTGGCACTAATAAAACAATCGTGTTAGATGCATAGTGTTTCATGCTGAGTTCTGAAGCCAACAGTTGGTTTATAATCCTCCACTAACCTGCATATTTGATTTATTGAAATTGACACTTTGCAAATCATCTTCAGAAGGGAGGAGAATGTTGAGCACAGTTCATTGGCTCCTTTATCCATGAGATCATGTTTATCCTTTCCCTGGTATATTGATTCTTCTTGACTCAGTTTTAAAAGAAATATTTATCAAGATTTGAAAGGTACAATGACATCAGAATTCTATTTATCATTGTATGTCTTCTCAAATTCATTTTTTCAATAAATATAGGACAGAATGGGGAATTTGTTGATTAAGTTAGAGAACAATTCCGTAGATAATATTATAAGGTAAACCCACCGTATGCGTCTTAACTCTATTTGTGCAAAAGGTTGGTCAACATATAGGGTAGTGATGAAACCCTTTCATATTTTTTTTTCTGCTTGTTTTAAGAACGACTACACAGGGCAAATAGATTGCTTTTGATGCATAAGCCAAAATCTGCAAGGGTCCACACCCCTTCTTCTGTCTTTTCTGCATGAAGTATATGACAATACTTTGCATATAATACTATATTCTAAATAATCTGCCTTAAAAATATTTCTTAGACTTTTTTTGCTGCTTCGTCCCATAATATACAGTGGAGTTATACTAGCATGGCTTTGAGTTCTTGGTGTACTGACTATTTGATTTTTTTTTTCTCATTTGTAAGTCAGTCCTATAAAGACACCACCTTCTGGCAAACAGACGGATTCCAAGTGACAGAAAAACAAATCTTTGTGTGGCAAAGACAATTAATTCCCTGTCTTTATTATACTGTATACATGTTTTCCCCCGTATACTTCCCACTCATCCTTTAACATTTTAGTATGTTCTTTCTGGCCACCAATTTGCTGTAGACTTTAGTGTGTATGTCTGTTTAGGTAGGTAAAACATAAAAATGTTATGGAAAACCAGATTTGATCACAGGGTGTATGATGAATCAGGGAGGGAAGCTGTTTTATTTCTTTATTTCTCACTTTTTAAATCTTGTGCTGGTATAGAATGGGATTCTTGGTTTCAGGGAGAGTAACAGACGGTGAGCCATTTTTCTGGTTCCCTTTCTTTTACACCATCCCCTTATATGTCACTGCTCAGTTCTCTGGATGGGAAAGATAACGCTGAGGGATTTTCCAGGCAGCTCCTCATTAAAACTCAGATAATCTAACCCAGTATTTCTCAGCTTGGCCACTTTAAGATGTGTAGACTTCAGCTCCCAGAATTCCCCAACCAGCATGCTGGCTGGGGAATTCTGGGAGTTGAAGTCTACACATCTTAAAGTGGCCAAGGTTGAGAAACACTGATCTAACCAAATCTGTTTCCATTTCCTTGTATATGACTCATCTCTTACCAGAATTCAGGTGTAAACAAAAATGTGATGAATGTTGTAGTGGTTTCACCAATACACATTTGATAAGATTCAACTTGAGGGGCCAGTTTAAACATGCACAACATTGCTTATGACTCCAAGCCAGGTATGTTAACTATCTTAACTGCTAAAAAAAGCAAGCGAATGGATGTTCATTTTGCTTGATCTTTGCAGATCCAGTCATACAGTATGTTCATAATGGGTTCGTCCATTTTGTTAAGCCACAATTTATTTATTGGTAACATTCAATGGCTAATATCAGATTTATGTTTATGTATCCATAGCTGTTGAATAAATCACCTTTGGCTGCGTTCAGACAATGTGGTAAGCCGTAACCCATGGTATATAAACCACAGTGGTTGAGTTCATGCAAGAGGCAGAGGTGAAACCAAACTAACCATGATCTGGCTCACCGCAGTGGGTGAATGCAACCATTGAAGTCACATCAGAGTGTGTGTGCCAACCAGCCCTTTGTGTTTCAAACTCTGTGTGGTTTTAGATCGTGTTCAGAATCCAGTGCATGATTCATCTCTTCTGTTCAATACCGCAGAAATGTTGGTTTGTGAGCGTTTTAATGGTTGCCTTATATGAACAGGATAACAGTCCAGAACAGAACATTTTGATGTAGTAAGAAAAGGAATTGAGAAGAAATGGTTTGGGGGTCTGAAATGCTGTTTGGGACTTATTCTCGTTCCTAGATACCATAGTGCTGATGTTTCATTAATATATATATATACATATGCAAGGGAGAATGGCCCGGTTGTGACAGATTCTGTCACATAAAGCAGGATTTATTAGAACAAGCGTCACTTTTGCACCGTATCGGTTTTCTCATCCATTTTGCTGCTCTGTACTACCTTGTATCTGACGGCAAACGTTCCGGGGTTTACCAAACTGCCTTTTCTTCAATCTGAGCGACGAAACCATATTGTGAAGTCCCGATTAGAAATCCAGGACTGCAGAAAGAATCAGACTGCGGTCTGCAATCCTGAACTGGAGTTGGAATTCCAACCACCATTTCTCCCTCTGTATTTTGTAGTTTCTCGTTATGTCAAAAGTTTTGCATTAAAGGGTGCAAGAAAACCGGGAGCGAAAATTGGGCAACACGTTCTTAGCTTAAAAGACAGGAAATGTTATATTACGCTGAATTTCACAACAGTAATGAATGTTGGTATGTATGACCAGTTCTCGTGGGTGGAACCAATCTTATCGATCTTCCACCTTTTATTTCAACAACTAGGGCTAGTCCAAGCTGACTGAAAACTCTTGATTCTATCTCACTTTGGTATATAATTAAATTGTTTCTACAAATCCTTGGAAGATAGGCACTTTGTAATTTGTTTATAGACTTGAGACTTTCAATCCATTTTCTACGTGATGAGCCAGTAGTTGTGAAACTTTTTTCCAGCTAATGTTTATTTGGTTTCTTTACTTCTGATATTCAAGATCTTAAAGCTGGCTTTTTTTGCTGTTGAATTTCTGCATATAAATATAAATGCATTGTTTTCCTCATCCTTCTGTTTAGCTTTCTCCAATTTGTGTGGATAGATTTTGCTTAATTTGAGTTGCTTCTTTTTTTGCTTTGGAGAGGGGAAGGCGGGCCCTGAAAACAACTAATAAATAATTGGAACAAAATATTTACTCCTTTCCCACGGACCATCAACTATGCAAGGCAGCTTTAGTAGGCAACGTGTAAAACTAAATAAAAATGGTAGTTGTAGTGAAAGCTGTGAAAAGTAATAATTTTGCAGAATAATAATTAAAAACTTGCATCAGTATAAATTGTCACCCTTGAATCAGATTCTTGAACCAATGATCAAGTTATTTTTCATAAGGTGACAGCCTACTAATTTAAATAAAAAATCAAATCAGTTTGCCAAATCCAAACCCATCTGTACACATACTGATTATTGATAATTTGAAATTGTATTCAGGTAAATTAGTTTTTCCCACGTTTTCCCTGCAACACCTATCAAAGGCCAGGTCTAGCTCTTGCTTCATGAGATTACAGATGTGTGAAAATAGAGTGGCAGATAATAAATATAGAGATACATATATCTGAATTCTGTGGCTGCAGCCCCCCAGTCCTGTCCTTTGGCACAACCCATCATTGTTTATGTTGGGTGAAGCTGCCCATTGTAGTTGATTTGATAAGCCGCAGTTGAGCAAATCATGGCTCACTGCGGTGTGTGAAACCATAGATTATGCTGAAGCCTGAGCATAGATAGATTTACACTATTAATCATTTGTGGGGAAACCCCTTTCTCTGATTCTTTTGCCTCCTGCTTCCTGGGGGTTGCATTTTCCTGCCCAAAGAGGCTGCAATCAGTTAATTTGCAGGCTAAGCTTTGTTTCTTGGAT